GACGCACGTCTCCCAACATTGAAGGCAGAAGTGGTGCGTTTTTCAAATTTGAAATAACGCCTGCCGTTACGTCTTCCAGCATTGAAGGTAATAGTGGCGCATTTTTTGAATTTGAAATAACGCCCACCGTCACATCTCCCAGCATTTAAAGACGGGTTGGCGCGTTTTCTAATTTTTTGGCGCTCGAAAAATCCAAAAATCTCCTGACGCACGCACACTTTGCGTCGTCAGTCAACCGGTTTGAAGTACGGGTCAAATCCACCCGTCACCTCGTGAACTCCCCGCGCTAGAGCAAGACCCTTAGCGCGAGGAGTGGGGGGCAATTGATGGAGGAAGATTTTGCCCGACCTCTTGGCCACCCAACACGTGGAAGCAACTGAGGGTGACCTGGCAGGAGCAACAACTCGGCATGACAGTGCACTCAAGGCGCGAGCTCCGAGAGGAGGAACCAGCTGTCCGAGCTCCCCAAAAGGAGCCCGAACTCTCCCTTTGACCCCGAACCTTACAAAGAGCGCAAAGGGAAACAACCCGAACTGGCCCACCCCAGGGCAGTTCGGGCCACACTTCTATCCGAACTCAAGACTTCACCTCGCACACCACTCCGGCACTTCGTCTCTAGGCCGCCGAACTGAACAACCGTACTTGACACCAAAGGAGTCCGTATCCTGAGGCGGCACACCTGACTGACTTAGGATCTGACGCTTGACTGCTGCACTTCAACGGCCACCTGCCACCGCCACCTCCAGTTATAGAGACGGCTCCAACAAAGAGAGCAGTGGCGGTTGTCTGCCCCAACAGAGGTGATGACACCCAAACTGGCAGAAGTGCAGAGGTAATGATACCCAACCTGACAGGAGCTTGGGAGTAAGTGTGCGAAGTTGTTATAAAAGGCCCTCTTCCCCCCAAGAATAAAGGTACGTGATAATTTTGTTCCATCTGGTTTTTTATCATGACTTTGAGAAAATACTAACTTGAGCTTCGGAGCACTCTCACTGGGTTCCTCCTCGGAGACTACTGGCTTTCTTTCCCATTCCAGGCACCTTTTGCTCTAATAAAAAACAAGATCGTTGACAGATAGGACCGACCGTATTGCACTCTATCAGAACCTTTGTCTCGAACGGCTGTCGGCTTACTTTGATGAAAATGCTTGGTTCAAGTGCAGCGTGATCTTCATTTCATTGGCAAAAGACATCTATGAAAGTGTTGCCTATCTTACAATAACAATCAAAATCTTGGAGTAGTTTAGGAGAAAGATTTGCATCTCCTTACACTCCAATAAGGAGATTTGATTCTAGTTGCTTATTATGCCAAATTAAAGGTACTTTGGGATGAGCTCGAGGTTTTAACTTGTGTATTAGATTTTTACTTCAATATAATTCGCACAGACATCCTTAGTACTGATCCTCTACTGCATTGATTCTTCAAGAAGATTTCTATTTATTTGATGGTTACCTCCATGTGAGGACCGTCTGCACCATTAGTTAGCAGCTTTGCTCGCCACTCCACCAAACCAAAAAATCAACAACTACGTCTTGTCAATCTTGATCTAAAAATAATTCAAACAAGTAGGGTTCCTTGTCATCAAGACAAACATCCAATTCAATTTGACCAGTCAAGTAACTGTGCAGTGTGCACCACATAAACTACGTACAAATATATATAATCCAATTACCAATTACCAATTACCAATCACCCATCACAGACTTCTCTGCTCAAAAGTTCTATGACTTGTAAACGAGGAATTATCTAAAATTGTCTTGGCAAATGCGCCTCTGGTAAGGTCAGGTCTCTGGCATTCTTGAATGAATCATTGCTAGTGGGGCTTTCGATCACATGATATCTAATCCCAATCACTATGCTAAATCCACAACTCTTGCAAATTCCTGACCAGTTCACCTTCCCAATGATGAATCTATTTCGACCTTCCTGACCGAGCTCTCCCATCTCACTTTGAATGATGTAAGGGGAGCTCGAGCTTGTCGGGCGTAATCCTTTTTGCTTTTTTCTCTTTGTGTAAATTTTGCTTTCTTCTTCCCATAGAAAATTAAGATGTTATTTCTTTGGGTCCATATGTTTTGATAAATGTTTCCCACAATTTACCTGTAATCTATTATTGGTTAGTCAATTCATCCAACAGTTGCATTGCGTTATTGTATTTTTCTTCTCTTTCTGTATTCTCTAGGACTTAGCATCCAAGACTCTGATTAGGGTTGGGTTGGTCACCAGTCACCACTGTGATGGCATCTATTGGTTCAAGTTTTTACCTACATCTACATCTGCTCTTTACACAGCTTATTCTGTTTTTGTGGCATCAAAGCTTTGGGCATGTTTCTCATTGTTGCATTTCTTCCATTTCAAAGATTCCCACGTTGCCCCTACCACACTATTGTGTTGCCTGCCATTGTTCCAAGCAAATTCACGTTCCATTAACCAGTCTACTTCCACCAGGCGGTTCCAACTAATACATAGTAGTGATATCTGAAGAGAGTATTGCACTCCTTTTACTAGCTGGTGCACATTAAAATAAATCAGGGGCAATCTCCTACATTTTATTCTTCTTTGCAATGGTGGACAAGGAAAATCCCATGAAATTAAATATTGTTTAATCATCCACTGAATTATGATCACTTGAAAGTTTTGGGTGCCTTTAATATTTATGCCAAGTATAGCCTCAAGTAGGGGTGTCAATAGGACCGATTTGGTCCAACCTGATCCAGTCTAATGTCAGTCCGCTTATAAATGGATCAGACTCAATCCAATCCAATCCAATCCATTAAAATGCAAAGGGATTGGATCCAATCCAAATCAAATGAAATATAAAAAATTATATAAAATCACTTTTATCATTGAAAAAACATCTTTGTAAAAGTACTTTGATAAAAATATTTTCATAAAAGTGCATTTACAAAAGTACTTTATTGAAAGTACTTTGGAAAGTAAAAGCACTTTTCGAAAAGTACTTCTATAGACTTTTATAAAAGTATTTTTGTAGAAATGCTTTTGTAAAAGTGCTTTCATAAAAATATTTTTGTAGAAGTTCTTCCATAAAAGTGCTTTCATAAAAGTGATTTTATGTTATTTTCAGTCTTGATTGATCTCAAATTGGACAAGGGTTTGGCTTCATGATCGGATTATTGGAAATTTGGTTTAGGTCTAATTCAAACCAATAAGAATATGAAGTAATTTATTTTGGATTGGCCCAATCCAATAATTATAATGGACCATCCAAATCCGATTTGATAAGGTTTTGATCAGATTGAATCCAAACCAAAGCTGGTCGATTGACACCCCTATATAAAAAAAAAAACGTTAATTCACAAAGTACTTTCAATAAAGTGCTTTTGTAAAAGCACTTTTGTGAAAATATTTTTTTCAAAAGTACTTTTACAAAAATTCTTTTTCAACGCTAAAAGTGCTTTTATATAATTTTTGATATTTCATTCGGTTTGGATTGGATCCAATCCAATCCTTTTACATTTTAATGGATTGGATTGAATTTGGTTTGTATTGGATTTGTACTAAATTAGGTCCAGTCCATTTATAAATGGACTCACATCACATTTGACTGGATCAAATTGAACCAAATCTGTCCAATTGACACCTCTACTTTTATATCACCAATGGAGTGTGTCCAAAGGTAGTAAAAGAGGAATTGTAAAAATAGAAAATGTAAATATGGGCATTGCAGAAATTTTCATCCTCATCATAATGCCAGTTTATGAAGTTAAACGTAAGTATATATTTGAAAGTTCAAGGTATTAAAATGTCACACTTGCTTAGACCCGTCTCTCTACCTATAAAATTTAATTTTAATTTCTTAACCATAAGAAACACACTATAAAAGTGGATTTACATATAATATAAATTATACATGTCATGTTATAATATTTATACATGCCATGTCATTCTAAGGTTAGTTATGAAATTTAAAAAAAAAAAAATGGTCACATGATGTCAAATGTAATCGGATGTGACAGAAAGTTAACAGTAGGGGAGGTTTTAGATAATTATAAAAAATAATAGAGATAATTTAACACAATACTAAAATAATAGGGGTATAGTTAGTCAATTTCCTTAATTTTAAGGATAGTTTAAAAAATATCCTTTTTAAAATCTTGGAAAGAAATGACGCCCACATCCCACCTATGTACTATCATTTGGGCCCACTTAATACTAAGCCCCAACCTAAATAGATCGTTGATTTGGAATTGATGATTACGTTATTCGTGGAACTGAGGCCTTTGAAATCACACCTGCCCCAGGGAAGGTGCCCGACAAATGCCCCACATGCACCTCTCAATGTGCATTGAGAATATCTTTGAAAGTTGTCCATAGAGATATTCCTAATACACGATTGGAATATAACGTGGGGCGTTTGTGGAGCACCCTCCGTAGGGCACAAATTTGAATTCAATGCTTCTGTGCACCTCGCACTTACCTCACATTCATATGAATAATAAATAGACTTCATACCTTCTACCCACACCTACCCATGGAACACTACCCTCTCCCCGTACAAAACACCACGTAAGGGCATGGGGGTGACTATTATTTGGTTAAAATCGAATTAATTTGGTTTTTGTAAATTTTGATTTTCGGTTTTGATTTTCAAAATAAAAAATTCGATTAACTAAAAAATCGAAATAAGCAAAATTTATTATATAATATATAATGTGCTATATATTTATTATAATGAAACTCTGTTTTATAATATAATATATATATATATATATATATATATTGTACGTTATAATATACAATATTTTATATATACTAATGAAATTCGGTTTTAATCGAAAATTTTGGTTTTGATTATTTCAATTTTCTTATAAATCGATTTTGATTTGATTTTTATTTTTTTATTTCGATTTATTCAATTCGATTTTTAAGCGAATGAAGTGAGTGCTCACCCGGCGTGCATGTATGTTGCGAACTTGCGATCTGGTATTTGGGTAGAGTTGTTGAGGGTAGGAGATCCGGACTAATAAATATAAGTACGTGAGAGGAACATCTCCTCACCATGGTCCGGGGTCCAGGAGATTCGAACTCGGATAGTAGCTGCAGATCCGAATCCGGCTGTGTTTCTAAAGCTCGTCATTAGGTAGCTGGGCTCTCAGAGATTGTCGAGAGAGGGAGAGAGGATGGGAGGACATGGTGGAGATGGACACAGCACGACGTACAAGGGGTTCACCATGCATTACCCTAAGCGGTGGCATGTTATCACCGGAAAGGGCATGTGTGCAATCATGTGGTACTTTCTCAGTTACTTTCTCCTTTTTCCTCATTTCTTCTCCCCCAAACCCTAATTTTACTTCTTTCTGTTTAATTCTCCCATTATCACCCAAATATAGAATATTCACCAAATTAGCTTCTTTTTCCTTTTCCTTCTTTTGATAATATTGTTCTTCATTTTCTTCATTGGAAGTTATCAAACATCTTCCTGGGTTGCAAATCAAAAGCAAAAAAGTTGCCTGCTTTGAAATATATGACATTCATTTCCGTATTTTCCTTCGATAATAAGATGCCTAGATTAAAGTTTGTTTCTCCAGCAAGTATGCTTCAACAAAGAAATTTAGGTATAATAGAGATCGTTCTTTTATCCACGGAAGTTGTTCTGTGAATGCAGACATGTGTAGGTTGTAAGCACACCTATTTTTGGCAAACGTTCCGACTTTGTTACTGTCCAGCGGAAAATTTTTTCATTTTAGAGCTCAAAACACCAAATAAGGTATGCTTGGAAATGAGAGGTGGTTTCTGTGGCAACAAGTTTGATAAAATTGCTAAATTGACAACAATTCATTAGCTTCCCTCTTAGATTCTTTCTTACCTTCTTTCTTTTTCTCTATATTTTTTCTATCTTTTTATAATGAAGATAGTTAGATCATATATGGAAAGAATAAAACGATAGCCATTGCTTGGTGCAATGGTTAATGTCCTTTATAGCTCAATTACTTTAGTGAATGTAATATGCTCATCTACCACCCCTCCCAAGGCCCAAAGATAGTATTGGGTAATGGCCTTTATAGCTTATTTTCATGTTAACATCATTGTTTCCCATGTCCCAACCTTTAGACCCTGAATTTCTTCCACTATCAAAACCTTTCCTCTACTCTGCTTGTTCAATCTCAAATTGCGTCTCATTTTACAGATAGATAGCTTGGTTTCAAGTCACTAAATACCATCTTCCAAGAACAGATTTGCTTGTTGCATGTTTTGAATTATTAGGCTTCCAGACAGCAAACCATGTATCGATTGATAAATTATATTTGCCCCATCTATCCTCATCCTGACAATTCAAGATCCATGTTCATAAGAGTTTGGCAAAAGTTTTAATGCCGGCTGCCAATCTGACACATCTCCTTATCCAGGCTTGGGACCGCTTATGTAATATAAGCTCACATCAGTGGAGTTATTTGCCCCATCCAATTATTAAAAAGAAATGTTTCAGGTTTTTATAACCTATTGTCCTTTCAGGGTTGAATTTTAATGTTTTATTTTTCAATCTCCCCAACAGAAGGTCATTTAAATGCATAATGAAGACAGTGGTGGAAAACACCTTAAAACGAACTTGAAGTAATACTCCATAGCTTGGGACATCATCCAACTGGTGACTCCTACAATCCATCCATCCACATGGAGATTGGGTCCTTTACCTATATACTTGTATACCATGTACATATATGTACTAATAATGGAAAACAAAGTGTAACACAAAGGTTGTACTTATGATAGATCTGTAAAATACATACCTAGGGCAAAATACAGCATGGTTGTAACTTTCCTGGAAGAGTATTCTTTTCTTGTCTGAGCGTCTGGGATTCTCTATTATGAACTTATGATAGATCTGTATAATCTTTTATATGTTTTTGTTGTTTGTGTCCTTTGTCGATTTGGTCAGCTTAAGAAGCTTCCTTTTTTTTGAATGTGCTGGTTTAACTAGGGGCCTGTTTGTTCCTTTTTTTTTTTAATAAAAATATTTACTTATTGAAAACTTTTCTTTTTCCTTTTCTTGGGTGTCAGAAGATTTTTGAAATTCAACACTGAAGTATGGGGATGTTTAATGTAATTCATTGTTAACTCATTGAATTACTGAAGCCTCTCAAAAAAAGTGTATTTTTTATTTTGACCCTCTTTGCATTGTATTGATTTTGGTTATGTAGGTTTTGGGTGCTCTACAGGGCTAAACAAGACGGTCCTGTAGTTTTGGTAAGCATCTATTTTATTTAACTTATCCATTTTGTCATAATATTTGAAGTCTTCGTCCTCACTTGCATGTTATGTTTGTCTCATAGGGCTGGCGACATCCTTGGGAAGGCCATGGAGATCATTCTCATGGGCATGGACATGAGGTAAGTCACTGGGTGATGCTTGGTGGAGCCTATGATACTAAGAATATCTTTTGACCAGTATCTGATTTGAATGTATTTATTCAATACAAAACATAAAATGTAGTACTGTAATACACTCCATTGGAGAAAAGCCATGTGGCTCAGCCACATTTAATTAATGTAATGCATAAATATGGCCTATATCCTGCCTGGGGAGGGCAGACTCTCCAAAAATAAATCCCGAATCATTCCATCTCCAACTAGATGATCTAAAAGATCATTAGTTCCATTTGAAGGAGGCCTTCATTTTAGCAGCTAAAGATCTTTCTTTCTCAATTAGATGGTGGTAAATTCATGGACCCATTTGAAATGTTATTGGACTTTATTTTGATGGCTTCATTGGGTATTGGAGAAGTTATCAGAAATAAATTATAATGATATTCAATTTTTTTGGAAACTAACTTAAAGATTTAGTCCATGGCTACTGATAAAAAGGTTTTACTCCATAGCTTAATTGGTATAGTTTTCTTCACTTTGTACTTATTAAGCTATTCCTGAATTAAAAGGAATATAGAATCAATTGGGGAAAACAAAAGTGAAAAAAAGAGAAATATCTCTAGCCTTTAGTCAACCAATTCAGAGAAAAATTTATGCTTTTATAAAAATTAGCAAATTTCTGGAGCTTTATTAGGGTTATCTTTATCGTCTTGTATTTTAGAAAGTTAATAACTGATGCAAAAGTTGGAACATGAGCCCAATAAATTCAACAATTAGGGGGAAATAATTGGGAATTATAATTCAAAATCTTGGCTCTTGTGATTCTCCTCTTGTTCTGCATTTTCACCTTTTCCTTTAGAAATTGCGTTATTTTTTTCATGAACCCATGGCCCTTCCACTCACTACATGACATATTGACCAAAGTTCTCTCATGTTCTCCTTTAGTAGTCAGATTTCATTATGTTTCTAATTTTGAAATTATACTTCCTGTCAATAACTTCAAGTCTTGCACTTTGGTTCTCTCTTCATTCAATATTTTTAGTTTTTCCCTTAGAAATTGCTCCCCCCCCCCCCAGCACAGAATTTGTGGTCCTTCCACTCTCAAGCTGGCATTCCTGCCACCAAAATATCAAATTGTCTTTGGGAATAGTCTATGATACTAAGAATCCATGTCTGATACCATGTCCTGTTGTGTCCTTGCTGTATCTGTCTCATAGGGAGTACTGCAATTTTTGTATGTTTTCAAATTTGAGATAGTTGCCTCTAGGAATATTGGATTAAGAGAAGAAAAAAAAAAAAAGGAAAATTGGTCTGACAGATGACTAAAGCAGAGCTTGCTGACATAATTGGTCATATTCCCGCCCCTCTTGAAGGTTAGCGTACCTTGTTTATTCTCTCTTTGTCAGAGACACATCAACCCTTTCACATCTTGGCTGATTCCAACTGTGCTTGAATCTAGAAGTTTCTTTCAGAAATCCCTTCAAAATGTTGGGTTGTTTTGCTCATAAGCTTCGGTTAAAATCCATTTATAGTTCTCTCTGAATCTTGATTCTTGAGATTACAGTAAGGTTATAGGCATTCTAATTTCTTTCTGAAGTTTGGCTTTATTATATTAGTTCTATGTGGTTTAAAATTACGAAGGAATTGTTTGACTACTTTTCTGTTATTGTTACCTCCACCTCTCACTTACCAATAAAAGGTTTTCATTTGATTACTTTTCTTTTGACATGATCACACCATATGAAATTTGGGGTTTCTCTTTGGCATTTCCTTTCAGATTCCTTAAGGTCCATGAACATGTTTGCTTAGTTTTCCTTGGCTTGCATTTCTTATGGTACATGGCAGCTCTAGATTTAATGGAATTTGGAGTTCTTGTCAAATTTACTTTGAAATATCATTGGGTCCATGAATGGTGTTCTTCTTGTGTGGAAATAACAAAGAGGGTGTACAAAGAAAACAAACAGGGATCAAACCCCTGAAAAATTACACAGGAGGGATCTTATCACAGTACAACACTTCTAAAAGAGCACCTAATTTTGCTAACCCATCTGCAAAAGCATTAAGATCCCTTGGAATCCATTGAACAAGAAAAAAAAAGATCCCTTGGAATCCAGCACAGGTGTACGTTTGTAGCTGCCTCTGCCTCTTCTATCTTTTTAGATGTCTTTTCTTCTCAGATACCTTGCTTTATTTGTTATTACCTCTTATTACAGATCTGAAATTGGATTTCAGATCTTAATTTCTTAGAGGTGGAGAAGCTGTTTAATGTGCTCAGACCTAATTCAGAGTTGCATAAAAGACATAAATACCCTTAAAGAAATTTTAATATTACATATTTTTGTCCTTTCATGTAAATCCAATCGAACACTCATTGTGAACTGAACGAAGCTCCACTGCTACCACCACTGTTGAAGCTCCATAGCCACCACCGCCACTGCACTCTCTGTCTCTCTCTCTAGCGGCGGTGGTTCTTCTCTCTTGCTCTCGCTCTCTCTCCGTCTTGTCTTCCACCACCGCCACTTGCAGCGGTGGTGGTTCTCTTGCTCTCTCGATCTCTCTCTTCGCCTTGCCTTCTGCCACCGCCGCGGCAGTTCTCTCGCTCTCTCTCTACCCTGTCTTCCGCCACTGCCGCGACGGTTCTCTTGCTCTCTCTCTCCGCCCTGTCTTCCACCACCGCCGCTTTGCAGCGGCGGCTCTCTCTCTATCTTCCCGCTCTCACTCTTGCTCTCCCTCCCTCCCTCCCTTTCTCTCTCTCTCTCTCTCTCTCACTCTCTCTCTCTCTTTCTCTCTCTTCCTTCCTCCCATCTTCCCACCACCGCCACTACAGCACTACCGCTGCAACTTGCAGTGGCGGCTCTCGCCCCCTGTCTTCTCTTGCTCTCTCTCCTTCCCCCCCTTTCACTGTCTTCCACCACAATTTTTTATTAATTATTAATTATTTTATTATTTTTATTAAACATTAATTATTTATTATTAAATTTACTTGTGTTATTTATTAAATATTTTTATTAACTAATAATTTTTAATTATTTCATTAATTTTTTAAAATTATTTTAATTTTTATTTGTATAAATTATTAATTATTTTAATATTTTTATAGTCATTAATTATTTTTAAATTTTAATTGTTTCATTTATTAATTAATAATTAATAATTTTTTATTTTTTATTTGTATTGTTTCAATATTATTTTAAGGTTGAAAATTATTTTTTATGAGATAATGTAAATTGAACTCAACATTTTCAAATAATATGTTCTAGGGGTAAAATAGTAAAATCAGTAAATTTCAGATGGTAAAAAGTAGAAAAGCAATTATGCCTCTTTTCAGATTTCAAACACTTTTAATATCTTTTTAACTTTTAAGATCTGAATTTTCAGATCTATCAAACGCCACCTAAGTGTACGTGACAGATTAAATCATGCTTTATTTGATTACCACTAGAGTATTTCTCATCAGTATCCCCATCAGCTCGAAGCAAAACTAAGGGGTTATTTTCCATTACTACTTGATGCATTTTATATGCAATTTTATTGTTTGGTATCATTTATTTTAGGAATGCTTTTATATGCAATTTTAAGAAGCTTCATTTATTTGATTACCACTATAGATTTTCTTATCAATATCACCAGACACTGTTTGTATATGAATAAACTATCATGCCCAAAAGTCAAACAAGCATTATCCACGAACAATAACAAATGCAATGCAAAGGAATAAACACTTAAAAAAAAAGGGAAAATAAAATTTCAGTAGAAGAATTATGTACTTTTTGGTGGGTCATTGTGACACTAGCAAGTGCACTAGCCGCTCAAGTAATAAAGAGATGAGTAGAGTATCGTTCCCACGAGGATTTAGGTAGCAACTACTAATACTAAACCAGTCAGCTCTTATTTGATTAACTGAATACTACAGTTTATTCAAATATGAAATTCTAAATTACAAACTACCTAATAGGCATTGGTTCAACACCTTGCATTCAAGTTGAGAGAATACGTTAAAATTACAAATTCATGATTCAGCAATCAGCCCTCTTAGATCATTCGAATAGAGTATGATTCAGCCTTGATTTGGTAAAACCCCAAGGAACAACCTCTTTCAAGTGCATGTTCATCCTATGCATGAATGATGATTCTTATATCTCTATCAAGAATCTAATCATTCATGGATGCATTAGATCAAATACTTCAAGGGCATCAATTCAGATTGAATTGATCACCAACTGAATTGTGCAAGTTATCTCTAACCTTGCATTCAATTCAGTTTTTGATGTAATAGATCTGAATTTCTAGATTCTCTCTCAAGCACTCTAGATATTCCAAGAGGTTATAACAGATTGGCCAAACTGAATAATGAATGTCTGAATTCTTTCTCAAGCAATTCAGACATTACAAATCCAGATCTGAAATTCTCTAATTCAAGAAACATCAAATGCTGGATCTAATCCATTCGAATGATTCAAGAAAACTTAATTACATAATCTGAATTTACAATATTCAATTTCCATTACAGCAAGAAAGAAAGAAAGAAAGGAAGAGAAACTACATGATCTAAAGCTGAATTCCAATTCAAAGAAAACAAAAACTGAGTAAGAACGTAACCTAGATCTCTCAATCAAGCGTCCCCTTCTTTGAACTCACTTTCTTCTCTCTTGGATACTTAGATCTCCTCAGCTCCTCCTTCTTGCGCCTTGCGCTCTCTTCTCCTCTTCTTGAATTTCGAACCCAAGGGATTAGAGAGTCTTGAACTTAGGCAAATGAACACATTCCCCCTTCAAGAGACCTCCTTAAATAGTCTTTCAAAGAGTCTAGAGACCTCTCTTGAAGCTTCTAGAATTGGTTGTCCTTCTCTCATCTTGAACCTTCTAGAGTGTTGCCCCCCTTTCTTCTCTTGAAACCTCTATAAGTTGCCGCCCCTAGCTCCCTTTGGGCTGCAACTTAGCTGAATTTTGAGCTGTTTTGGGGTGCAATTTAGGCTGTTCTTGAGTTGAAATGGGCCTCCTCTTTGCTGGGCCGAATTTAACTTTCATGCTAGGCTCTCTCTTTGAGTTCTCCCAAAGAGTGTAGCATGGGCTACATGGGCTGAATGATCCTCTATTGCTCTCTTGGCTGGGCTGGGCTAAATTAATTTAACTTTGGCTCTTTTTTTCTTGTTTTATGCCTTCTTTTTCTTGAATTGGTTTTCCTAAAATTAAACTAAAAATGGGGTGAAACTCAAACAAACCATCATAAAATCATGCATAAAACTTCATAAATTGTAGGTAAACCATGTACTCATCACTTTTCTAATTGTTAATTATCAAAAAAGAATTATGTATTTTTCTGATGTTGATTGTTGTCACTTTCAGGATTCACATTGAAAAGCTACAACAAAAACCACCAGTGGATGGTGCTGATTGTACCAATGTATGGCACAGATGTTTTAGGCCTTCAATAATATCAATTGTGAACTCGAAATGGTTGTGAAGTTATGTTTAGTCTAGTCACTGAGAATACAAAAGATGATTTCGCTGTGGTTATGCCATTAAACAAGCATAAGGTTGACTTTTGCCAAAAACCTTGAGCTTTAGAACTCCCTCACTGCCCATGTTACACATAAATTTGAATGTAAGTAGACACGTATGTACAAGTTCCCAGATATGATGAGACGTTTACAGAAATAGGAGAAGGTCCACAACATCCGCATGCACATGGCAGTTGAATGAAGTTTTGAGGATGAGGTTTCTTTTGTATTTCCTCTTCCTCTGTAAATATGGTAATGGGACTTGGAAATCTTTCACCAAAACTAAGATCCAAGATCGAAAGAGAAGATTTATGCTCCCCTTGCAATCCCTTGAGGCTTGAGCCCACCCACCCCTGCTCATGACCTTTCAAATATTTTGCCTTCCATATCTCCTACTCTCACCCTTGCTGTGGAGGAATAGCTTTACAGTTTTAGGGCCTCGGAAGCCCTTTCCTGTTCATGCTCATCGCCATCACTCTGCCACAACTTGAAGGGTTTATGTAACTTGTTCGACTGTGTCGAGTACATGCTAGAATTGTTGGATGTCTCTCTCTCTCTCTCTCTCAGGGACCAATACCATCAGGTTTCGCATGGATCTCTTATAAGTCGTTGGATGTCTCATGTCTGTGGCATTACAAAATATGTCTCGTAAAAGAATGAAGAATCTCTGGAAGACCTTGAGTTGGTGCTTACATGAAATCAAGGACGGACGAATGTACTCTCTCTCTCTCTCTCTCTCTCTCTCTCAGGGAAGAACCTTGGTCTTTATGACCATTGTCAGCACTAAGCAAGCTGAAAGAAGTTGAAGCATCACCGTACCGCTGATCAGATCCATGTGTTGGTAGACCAATGTGTTGGCTCCACTTCCCTAGTGATTCTTGGCTCCACTTCGGTAGACCAATGTGTTGGTGACAGAGTTAGTGTTTGCAGACAAAAATATATACTTCTTTTTCCCTTCCCTCTCTAGTCTCCACTCAAACTCCATTCGCCTGATATGGTCAAAACAATAGGAGTGAGTTTCTGGTATGGTCTCCTCATCTCTGTGTGTGTGTGTCTCTGTAATTGTTTTCTGATTTTGTTGTATTTGTTCTGTAATTTCAAGTATTTGATTTTGTTGTGTTCATCAATGCCCTCCGGTCCCAAATCTGTCTATTTATCACTTCTATCATCCTAAATCAATACAATGAATTCAGTTTCGTCCTTTAGTCTGATCTCATGGTATCAGAGCGGTAATTTTTCCGCCCACCGTGTGATTTGCTCCAGACTCTTGTGCCAGAGGTCTGGTTTTCTCTATTCTCCTTCAAGCCTTGCACTGGAGCTGCTCTGTTTTGTTGCTGCTACTTGTGTTCTCTGTCTTCTTCTTTTTGTCCTCCAAAGTTTTTGAGGTTTGTAGCTACAAAATTCACAATGGAATTAGCAACAAATTCTTCATATTTCTTGCACCCATCCGATAGCCTTGGGGCTATTCTGCTATCATGTCCACTTAGTGGAGACAATTTCCTCGAGTGGCAGCCAGAAATGACTAAATGCTCTTTGGACAAAGATCAAAGTTATCTTTGTCGATGGATCCCTACCACATCCACTTTTCATTAAGCCAGATCTGAATGCCTAGATTAAATGCAACTCCATGGTAGTTGCATGGATTTTTAGTTCAGTAAACAAATATACGATATTGTAGCCTTCATCGAATTTTATGCTAATATTTGGAAAGAACTTCAATAATGTTTTCTTAGGGTAACATCCCTCAATCCATCAACTGAAGTGAGATATTGCCCTTCTTCAACAAGGCGAGTCCTTAGTGTGACAACCTACTTCACTAGATTGAAGACTCTTGGGATGAACTTGACTCTCTGATATAGTATCCAGAATGTACGTGTGGACGAGTAGCCAAAGCCTTTGTGATAGATGTGAAAAAGAGAAACTGCATCAGTTTCTCATGAATCTTTTAATGCCATCCGACTTAGTATTCTTGAATCTCAGCCACTACCTTCACTTAGCAAGGATTATGCCCTTGTCACTCAAGAAGAGCAACATTTGTTGGTGGTTGCTCCTTGTGTATCGCAACCAGAAGTGGCAGTTATAGCAGCGGATGCTTCCAAGAATGGCAATTTATGATCAAAACTCAAGTGTGACCACTGCAAGCACACAAGTCACACCAAAGATCGTAGCTATGCTCTCGTAGGCTATCCTTAAAATTGGAATTGTTGTCGGATTGATAAAACCTCCAAGACTGATCAATCAGCCTCTTGTGCCGTTGTCACAAATTTGTTGTATTCATGGATCAGACATCTCCAATAGCGGGACTTAGGTGGTGTTTGATTACACTTTTTCAGATGTTTGAATCTGAAAATGTTGCTTTTTAGACGCCACCAAGCGTTTGGTATGCCCTCTTATTAGAGATTTGAAATTGGATTTCAGATCTTAATTTCTAAGAGATAGAGTGGCTGCTTAATGGGTCAGACGTAATTAAGAGGTATGTAAAGGACATAAATGCCCTTAAAAATTTTGATATTACATGTTTTGTCCTTCGTGTAAGTCGAATCGAACTTCACCGCGAGTCTACAACCTAATGAAGCTCCATCGCCGAATCAAACCTCACTGCGAGTCTGCAACCTAATGAAGCTCCACCGCCACCACCGCTGCAAAGTGGTAATTTCTTCTCTCTCGCTCTCGCGCGCTCTCTCTCTTCCCTGCCTTCCCATCACCGTTGCTGCAAGTTGCGGCGACGGAGATTCTTTCTTTCTTTCTCTCTCCCTCTCTCTCTCTCTCCCTCCTATTTTCTTGCCATTGCTAATTATTAATTATTTTTATTAACTAGTAATTTTTAATTATTTCATTAATTTTTAAAAAATATTTTAATTTTTATTTGTGTAAATTAGTAATTATTAATTATTTTAATATTTTATAGCCATTAATTATTTTTTTTAATTTTAATCATTTTGTTTAACCATTAATAATTTTTAATTATTAATTTATTATTTATTATTTGTATTGTTTCAATATTTTTTTGAGGTTGAAAATTATTTTTTATGAGATAATGCAAATTGACTTCAACATTTTCAAGTAGTATATTTTAGGGTTAAAATAGTAAAATTGGTGAATTTCAGATGGTAAAGAATTGATCGAACACAAACAAACTTATGGATTCAGAGCCTCTAAAAAGTAGAAAAGCATCTATGCCTCTTTTTAGATTTCAGACACTTAATATCTTTTTAACTTTTTAGACTTCAAATTTCAGATTTATCAAACACCACCTTACTATGCACTAGTACACACAACTCATTACCATGTTAAACTGAGTCATTTGATTTCGTTGTCAATGTCACTGCTGATAAGCACTCCACACCTCATATCGGATGGACCATGGATAGTGGTGGTTCTGACCACATGATATTGCAGCAGCTGATAAGCACTCCACACCTCAAACTTGGGTGACGGGAATATTGCAGCAGATGAAAATTAAAGCAGTATCGTGTAAGTTTTCAAGAGCATCCAAATTGAGCAGGCGCAACATCTCTCATTCTCTCTACTGAAGAGTGTGTGTAGCCTTTCTTCTGAATCCCATCCCCGATCTTGAGGAAAGGATGGGGACTGTTGAGCGCCCAGAAAGGACACATGAGGATTAAAAATGCAGGAGTGAGCGGGATGGATGTTGTCATGTCCACCTAGTGCACAGCATGTTGAATTACATAATTAATGCGATCGATTGTTAATTAGTATTTATTTACAAATTATTATATATGGTGTAATGAATAATTAGATGCAAGATATGATGGATTAGTTAGTTCAGTTGCTTTAATGTTTCTCGATCGGTATTCGATCAGTAGCATCATGCATTTGGAATTTGGATTGTATACGAGTGAGTGGGTTACATGTCCAATACGTAGATACCTTGTTTCTTGTGTTGTGTTTCCCCTTACAAAGCAACCATTTGGATCAGAGTTGAGTTAAAAAGGAAAGGAGAGATGTGCAGTTTGGAGTTTGGACAATATAATAGCTTCCAACAAGTTGTTATCAAACTTCCCGGAGATTAGATTTGGATTGGGTATGCCGCACTTCTGCCACTTTAACTTGAACTTAACAAAATTGGGCAGTTTGGATTGGGTATTGTCGGGTCTCTCATGGGACTTTAAGCAATTAAGCCACCCTCATTTTGCCCATCCACTTCTAATTTTATGAATAACATCCCTTTGAATCTCTTTCATCATTTGCCTTTGGGGCCATCTCAATTTCAAACAAGTTAGAGAAAACCCGACACTGGACTGCCCTCTTTACTCCATAGCTAGCTTACTGCAACCCTTTGGATATGACTGGAAAACTTAACTAATTAAATTTGAAGGAGAAAGAAAAAAGGTTCCCTGATTGGACCCAGACTCGTTCCGAAATTTAAAATCCAATTCAATATATCCAAAGTTTGGTAGAGCAAGGATGGAACATATAGAAATCACTGTCAATTTGGCAGGCCTCAATATAGATCCCAGTCTTGATGTAACAACGTCCAAATAAACAGACTGTGAAGGAGTCTTAGAAGATGATATCTAACTATTGCCAGTTGATATGCCATGGTTCTAACAAATTGAGATGTAAGGATAACAAAAACAGAGGAAAGATTAGATGAGACAAGTTAATTTGTCTAGATGTATATCAAGTAGACCTCAGCCTAGCTTGCTTGACTCAGAAACTATCTGGTGATAAACTTGAGACTATCAGGCTACAAATGAAAATTAGTTGGTCAAACTACTTTCAGACTTTTTAAAGATCCAGCTAGACTTAAATTTGTTTAGTTGACTAAAATGGCAAAACCCACTTGAACTATTTCACTGCTACTATCTTATCCATAATGACGACTGCACTTTTGAGTTTTGATGAATGATATTAACTGCAGAATTTTTGTTGTTTTCTTATTTTTTTGGATTGGGCTATCGAACAATTTTGATCCTCATGTACCTGCCCCCCTCCCCTCGTCATTGACATTAATAAAGCTTTCTTCCTTTCAAAAAAAAAAAACCTGCCAGGTTTCCGGCGGACCATCGCCAAAACGCAGCCCAAAACGTCTTTGCATCAAAATCAAATCTAGAAGATGGCTGCACAACACACAGAAACAATTGCCACCTTGTTTTGGACTTGAAGCGCATAACTGAAATCCTTAACTATTACGAGATATATGTTGAATGTGTTTTAGAGCTTAAGCAAATAACCATGTGAAGGGCAGGTATTGAAGTATCTCAAGCCCAGGCTCTAAAGTCTGGACCATCCAAAGAGGCATGGTGATTAATATTGAACTGTCTGTCATGAGAGCCCATTAGCCCAGCCCAAACTAATGATTGTGGGAGAGGGAGAGTAGGATTCTCTTCTCTGGTTGCATGACTATAGGAATAGAGGATTCATATTGTTTTCATTTGGAGTGTGAGATTTTAACAAATTAACATCATCGTGTATATAACCTGTTAGTGAAATTAAATGTGCAGATAATTACTAGTTTACGCTTCTCAGTTGTTGCACATAATAATATTCCGCTCCCAACAAAGTACGTTCCAACATGATCTAACACCTCTCATCTTATACATAGTGATTAGTGAGCCCCAATCTCATTCTCATGGTGAGATATGCGGTGTTGGAAGCAAAGCCCAACTTATATCTGGATATCATATCATAATTTTTGGATCAATGAGCTGGCATGATATAATTGGGCCAGCAGAAGATCATCTCTCCATTGATCTGCATGCAGTGAAGAGGATCTGGGCTGTTATTGCTGCAGCTGACTGTGAAAAGAGTATTGTAGTACAATGCTGACTGTATTTTTTCACCCTTTGTTATACAGACATTTGGACGTTTTTACTTATTTATTTATTTTTTTGACATTTGGACGTTGTTGTTGTAGTATAGTTTGAGGTGAGCACAGATTGGGTTTTTGCCTACCGACATAGTAATCAGGTTGTTCACACTTCACACTATTCTCGAAAAGCGTTGGGTGTGGGACCTGGCTCTGTTTGGAATCCTCTGATGGATTCTTCTTTTGTAAGTTGTATTCTACATGAGGCTGTTTCTCGATAAAAGTTCATTTTACAAAGAAAAAAAAATCATTCTCTGACTCTCTGCAAGTGAGAATTGATTCTATACA